GCCTTAGTTATCGCCGAGGGAAGGATAGCACGGATAACACGTAGATTACTCTTAGTAGTAAGGACAAAACTAGAGCGGTTAGTAACTAGATAAACGAGACAATCGTCGTAATAAAGGGTGTTTTAAAGAGTAGTAAACTTACTACGTCCTACTAAGGGCTAGCTCTCGTTAATAGGGCTAAAATTACATAGAGGGATAAGCGGAGTTAGAGTAGTATTATATAACAATTAGAGCTGTTCTATAAGGCCGGAAGGAAGGAACTACGTATAGTAGTAGATATAGACCTAGAGCCTATACTAGTTGTTCCCTTAATACCGGCTCTAGTAATATAGCGAACTGCTATAACTATATAGCTTACTAGCCTACCGTAGAATTAAGAGGGCATACGAATTAATAGCAATTACTTAGAGGCAATTACTAGCCGGTAGACGTATAAGAACCGCAACTATAGGAACTACGGTTATAACTGTTTTATTCCTTTAGACGCTCGTAACTATCCTWCTACGCATTTCCCTATATATAAGCCTTAACTTATAGCGTAGTAGAAGGGTATTATAGAAGGGCGGCTTACTATAGAAGAACTAGGTAATACTATTATCCGTAACCTCGTTATTACGAAAGAGCGTAGTTTTAGTAGTAAGGGAGGYATAAATAACGTACGTAAGGTTAAAAGCGAACACGCTTTAAGTAGTTATACGATAATTACCTAYAACTTAGCTCTATTAACTACTCTAACTCTAGGTCCTCGTAAGGCTATATTACCGCCCTCTTTATAGCCTAAAGTTAAGGATAAATTAGATAAGTTTATAGACTATTATATATAGAGAAGGGAGTAGTAGGGGGAACCTACATAGGCGGCGCTTTAGTTAATTAAAAAGCTACTACTTAATAAGTTTGTCGCTATTATTAATATTACCGGTATAAGCGATAACGTATAGAYAAGGGCTAGTATACGGATTAGATATAAGATTAGAGCCGTTCGCTCTACGTAGGAGTTTAAGGATTAGAAGCGTAGGGAACGTAGATTRCGACTATAATAGCTTTTAAACTAACGGTCCGTTTCTCGCGATTTTTCTTCGAGCTTCTTCCCCGTATCGAGTTATTATAAAAGCTGTTTTATATTATATACTATCTRTTATRTAGTAGTGTTATTCTAAAGAGGTAGGGAAAGTTTTTAGTATAGTTAGTCTRCTAAGCCCTATTAAAGCTTAGGGAAGTCGATCTAAAGCTAACCTATAGTTAGCTATAGTCTACTAATTACTATATAGCAACTACGCGACTAAATTTAGTTAATAGCATCTTAAATTATAGCTTTCGACGCGCTCGAATTTTGTGTATTT